TATATATATATATATATATATATATATATTTATTTATTTATTGGTATTCTTTGCTTGCGAACTTTTGATTTGTTAACCAATAGTCTTTTTTGAGTCAGCTTTTTTCAATGAATTAATTTATTTATTGAACTATTTTACAAATAGGTAATTATAGTAATTCATGAGTAAATCAATCTGAATTTGAATGTTTAAAACATTCAGACTGATTCTGCTAATGAAGACTGGTTTGCTAAAAACCTTGAATGACTCTTATGAGCCGGTTCATTTTAGTCAATCAAAACTTACAGCGCGACCAGCGTAGTTCGATTCCCAAATTAATGACTCTTCTGAGTCGGTTCTTTTTAAATGAACCAAAACATACACCGCAAAACATTCCCGAACGAATCACTCTTATGAACCAGATATACGCTTATACACTTTTCTTGCTGTAATCAATGTTTATTATCGATTTAAATTTTATTTAAAAAGCATAAGGAAGTGAATAAAGGAATTATTACCACTTGTTTAGTGTGTTTATATATATACATAGACCCCGGCACATAGACTCCAGGGCCCGACATTAACGCTTCATTAATGCCAGACAAGTAATTAACATGATTAAAACATCAGTAACCAAAAATAACTATGTAAACACCAAAACGCAAGTATTATTCTGATTTTATTACATTTAGAGTAAGTGGCTAATAGTGGATATAGGCTGGCTAGCCTATATAATACATCTATTGACAGTAGCCTATAAGGTTGCGATGCTGAGGCGAGAAATCAAAAATCAAAACGCGCAACACTAAGAAACTCAGCATCCTGAGGTAAAAATTCAAAATGGAAAGTTTTTATATTTTATATACAGTTAGTTAGGCAACATCACACAACGTTTTCACCATTACGACTTTTTAATAGTTCTATAAACAGTTCAATAAGCAAATACAATAATATTAGGTCACTTATTTTAGGCGGAAACAGCGCATCTCACAGCAATCAGCCGATTCATTGCTGAATGATTCCGTGTTTTGAACGAATCGGTTGAGTCAAAGTTTCATTAGCCCATGCATAAACATCTGATGAATCTGCCGTTTGAACGAATCGTTTGAATGAACGACTCAATGACTCACTCATTAAACGCGCACTACTGGCACCTACTGGCGTTTTAATTTCGTTGAAAAGTATGATTTCCACCATCATTTCTTGTTTGTATATTAACAAATATTTAAAATAATCTCATAATATTATTTAATGCAGTTGTATTTTTCAGCGTAAATGATTTAATTTGATAACGTATAGATAATCACATTACTGTAATTGAATTTATAGATCAAATGTAAGAATTTGAAATGAAAGTATTAATGAGATTAGTTGGAAAATGCCCTCTATAAAGGTAAAAACAAAAATGCCCTTGGATAAAATATAAAAAACACGCAGATTTATGTCACAGCTGATAGAAAACGGATGAGAATATTGCTTCAGAATAAATTATATTTGCAAACACACACACACACACAGGTTTGTTTTTGTGAAAAGTGGGGACATCCCATAGGCATAATGTTTTTTATACTGTACAGACCGTATATTCTATTGCCCTACACCAACCCTACCTTAGGAGCAATTTGATTACATTATGCTGCTTCTGTGAAGAGTCGTTGAAAAGTATCTAAACTAAACTTTTGAATGAACTGTATTATTAGGTACTAGGCTATTATGATGTTATAGCTATATTCTGGACTCTTGAAATGATAATTTAGCAGAGGACTAGGCTACTGCGGGGAAAAATACAATTGAAAAATTACTTTCTTTCTTTACAATATTTTTTTCCTCAGAAGAACTAAAAGAATCGTAAATGGAACCGGAATCTTTGAAGGGAATCAGATTAAGAATCACGAAATTCTTCAGAACACTTCATCAGGACGAACGGTCACCCGGAAGTGCGTGTGCGTGACACTGACTACCGCGCAGTCAGTGAATATTTGGAGTAGTTAACTAGTGGGAGCCACAAACTAACTTACTACTCCACATAACTTGGAAGCGTGTGATTGCCTCGCTTGCTGGAATGGCTCCATTACTGAGCTGGTAGGAAACGCTATATTGCGGTCGGTTCATAAGCAGTGTTCCCAAGTCCGCGGTTTTCCCGCGGAATAGGGCTACTTTAACACGGTTGCCGCGGGTTGTTGTTCATGTCCGCGGGTCGAAGCGACCCCAATAACGTGATATTTAGTCCCTGGAATGTGAATTTTACTGGAAGATTCCCGCCGAAAAACGTGTATTTTAGCCCGGGAATGCGATTTTTACAGGGGAACCCTCCTCGAAACGCGATTGGACTAGTTTTATTGCGAAAACCTGGCAACTATAAGGCATCTCTGAAAGTATATAACCTTATTCTATAACAGGGGTATTCAATTAAAGTTCTAAGAGGTCCGGTCTCTGTATTTTATATATATATATATATATATATAGTTAGGAGCAATTTGATTACATTATGCTGCTTCTGTGAAGAGTCGTTGAAAAGTATCTAAACTAAACTTTTGAATGAACTGTATTATTAGGTACTAGGCTATTATGATGTTATAGCTATATTCTGGACTCTTGAAATGATAATTTAGCAGAGGACTAGGCTACTGCGGGGAAAAATACAATTGAAAAATTACTTTCTTTCTTTACAATATTTTTTTCCTCAGAAGAACTAAAAGAATCGTAAATGGAACCGGAATCTTTGAAGGGAATCAGATTAAGAATCACGAAATTCTTCAGAACACTTCATCAGGACGAACGGTCACCCGGAAGTGCGTGTGCGTGACACTGACTACCGCGCAGTCAGTGAATATTTGGAGTAGTTAACTAGTGGGAGCCACAAACTAACTTACTACTCCACATAACTTGGAAGCGTGTGATTGCCTCGCTTGCTGGAATGGCTCCATTACTGAGCTGGTCATGTAGACCGCTGCTTATACTGCCTCTTATTGGAATATGTTTCACAAAATTTGCAAGAGGTGAGTTCTTCTTCTTCTTTTTTTCTAATGATTATTATTTAATAAAAAGTTCGTTTTCCCAAAGGTGGAGTGAATTTGCACTTCTAGAAGTTCTAAAAGCATTATAAACAGTTTACGAACAGAAGACTCAACTGTGATAATTATATTTGTTGATTTCAATACAGTAATGAAAGTACTATACTTATATTTGCGGCCAGAGCTTATCCTAACACGACCACTGAAAGGAAATGAAAGTCAAATCAGGCAATATATTGACATGTTATAAGTGTTTAGGTGAGCTGAAGCTACTTTGAAGGTAACATGTGACAGATTAAGTTATATTTTAGATAACGGGTTATTTGTAAAGATTGCAGAATTGCATTAAATAGAAGGTTGCTTACGGTGTCCCACCACTGAGAGTCCCACCGCTGGCTCAAAACTTTTAGCTCAACTTCGATGATTAAATCCAAAACAGAGTCAGATTTTTGTCAACAAGGGCTGTTTGCTTTACAACAATTTCTAAGCGAGATGAAACTCAAGGATTGATAGGATTTAGGGGCATTGGAATGAGCATTTTGTGCCACTTTTGTTCTGTTTTGTCTGCTGTAATAAATATGGGAAGATTACATTTTAACTTTTGGGAACTGGAATTTAATATTTAACTTGCTAGGTGTATTTAATCATTACACCAACCAGGAAACTTTGTGCTATTTCAGAGTTTCAATACACTCCATTCTGTGTGATTTATAAGCGTTTTGAAAAGTGGGGACATGGGGTAAAGTCCTGAAAAGTCACCTTCTCCTTGTAATACCTATGTCATACCTTTGTCATTATACAAATTTATGTCCTCATTTGTTTGTTGGTTTGAACAAACAAGAAGCCTTATTTTCACCTGGTTTTTTTTGTTTGTTTTTTGTGTGTGTGTGGTTTTGCCTAAATAATGTAATGTGTTTCCTATGACTTAATATTATTAAAAGATGAAAATCTAAATGCAATTTTACATGTTCTTAGTTTTTTTTTTTAATTAGAAGAACAAAATCAGTGATTTAGATATATAGTGGTATTCCTTGACTTTTATTTATTTATTATTTTCTAACCAAATATAAACACAGAAATCCATCCATTTATGTCAAATATTTAATTTAAATCAGTTAATTAGTTCTCCATCTGAACAATTATGGCTGTTACCTATCAAATTAAATCAATGTTAAATACAAAAGTATCTGTAAATAATACATACAATATCATAACTCAAACATATGTTAGATCTTAATAGATTAATTCATTACAGTTTTTTTATTATTATTTTTTTCCACGTCCAGTGGCATTTTTGTCCCAAGCCCTTAATTCTTGACGCAGACAAGGGCCGGGTGATATGGCCAAAAAATTATCACAATAAAAATTTTCATATTAGTCGGTATCGATAATTATCACGAAAAATGTCCAATCTTTCACTTCTTTCAAGTTTAAAGGCGGATTTCTTCTGAGTGAAAGTTGTAGAAACCATAGAAACCAGACAGTTAACTGTGAGTTTTAAACTTATTTTTTTTGGTCAGAACATGACAAACACTTGCCAAACAGGTGAACATTTCACAAATCTGAGGTACAATATTCAAAACTTATAGTAGTAAATTATTTTTTTCAACATCAAAATATGCAAGAGTAAACCCTGAAAAAACTGAAAAAAGTAAAATCCTTTTTCAGTATTTTTAATATCTTAATACAGAAATAAATGTCTTAGTTTCTGCATGTTCTAATGGGTGACATTGTTTCAAATCATGAAAAAGGTTTGTGTTCCCTGACTTTGATAGCGTGATGCAGATGTAAATTTATGTTCATTAACAAAAACTGTAACATCAGTAAAAATTGTAACAACCTCATATTTATAGGGTAAAATGTAAATATTCTGACTGTTTGAGTTAAGACTCTATTTATTATTTAAATTAACCATTCGTCATCTATAGTATCACACAATTAGATCATGATAACCAAAGGTAAAATCATACATATCACCTCACTACCATGGTAAAATGTAACTATATGGTGGTATTTGTATGAAAAACAGTAACCTAAATACATTTAGTATAAATACAAATACACAAATGCTATAGCTTAATAACAACCTTTATTCATTTAATACATTTAACACGTCTACATTAATAATATAATAAAATCCAATAGGTATATCCCACATTTCTGCCACAATACCATGGTGCAGTTAGTGTTACTACAGTAAATCCATGGTAAATCCATGTAAAACCTTCTAATGGGATTGTTCATGGCACAGTGTTTCTCGTGTTTGTCAGTGCTGTTGAGAACGTCAGCGCTGTTTCATCCAACGCTCTCTCATGACCAATATGTATGTATTTTACAAGGTGGCTAATTCATACGAATTCGTACAACCTCACTTGTACGATTTCTGTGAGGGGTAGGTTTAGGGGCGGGGTTAGGGGTGATCCTTTGGACGAATTCCTACGAATTTGCCACCTAGTAAAATATGTATGAATTGTCATGAGAGGTTTCATCTGGCTTTAAACTAAATCACAGAGACATTTGTGTTCTTTGTTTTATTGCCCATGCAGCCCTAACCCTGACTAGAACAAATTTCATTCCAGCATATACAATTCTGATATTTTAGGTACAGAGGCTATAGACCACATTATGGTTGGGATATAACATCAGCAAGATGTGATTTCTTGGTTGTTAATGTAATATTTTCTCAGTACCCACCCCTTGGAGCCATAGCTCTTTAATAAGTTACACATGGAAACCCCTTATGCTGAAGAAATGTTTTTGTTCTTTTTGGCTGCAGTCCAAGCATTGTGAACTTTTAGACCTACTTAACTGCACCGATCAATATGCTGGCTCTCTATCCTCCATAAATCTCTTTAGAGTCTCTGAATGTGTGGAGGTCACAATCTCAACTCAACACTGTTGTTGTTATGATGAAAGGATTTGTTTTAATTAAATGATCTTTAAAAATAGATTGGTGTACGTATGGGTGCAATGAAATATTAATGCTGCAGAAAAATATGCCAGCTTGAACAACTTGCTTGATGATTAGGCAGATTTTATTTTGACTTCTGATTTGAAAGAAGATGCTTATTTCCTCTGAAGACTGCAGTGTGATTAAATATGTTTTATAAAGCCTTTATATGAACTTGATTGAGTACCATATCCTAGGACAAAATTAAATCAACTGTAAGTTCACTGACTGTTCACTGTGATTGTGATTGTGATTAATCCAAAACATGATGTATATCCTTTTTTTAAACTTGTTTTTTTTTTTAGATTATTGGGAATTTCATTTAATTTAATTGTGCATGTATTATATATTTGACAAAACGCAAAAAACTGGCACATCATTTACTTTTTTCTTTTCTTTGCTGTTGTGATACTCTAAAAAAATTCTGGGTTGTTTCACCCCAACTTTGGGTCAAATATGGACCAACCCAACTTTTGGGTTAAAAATGTAATAAAAAAATGTAATCCAACTGGGTTAGTCCATATTTGACCCAAAGTTAGGTTGAAAATAGTGCTGGGCGGTATGACCAAAAATTTATATCACGGTATTTTTCAAAATTATAGCGGTTTCACGGTACATGACGGTATTTTTTTTTTCATGCATGACCGGGTGTTAACCATCATTTTCTACTGATTGAGAGAGGAAATACTGCAGTATATTGACTTAGAATGCCCTATTTTACTGTCATGATGAGTGAATATTGTCAAAAAATACCATACTAAATAGTGACTAAACACGACCCCTTTTAATACATGTTAACCAGGAGTCACTCTCATTTATAATCGTGGCATCGTCTGATAAAATCAACATGCATCTACACTAAAGAGCGGCTATGCGGTTGTTTTGGCTATATTACTTTTTTGTCTCATGCAGCGCACTGCCTGCGTCTGAGTAACAAACTAAAAAAAACAACAAACAAAAAAGTGCATGTGATATTAACAGACGAACTACGCTCATATTTATAATTCCAACAGATATTTGTGGCGGTCAATGTGGATATTGTGGATGAGTTCTTCTGCATTATCACGTTCTATTAGTTCTACAGCTTCAGTTTCGAAACTTTCACGCTTAGTAACACATACAGCTGTTCCCTCACCACAGTGCACCAGTGAAAAGGGACCCCTTTCAAACAGTGTCGCTTTCCGAACGTTGTTTAAGCGACATACTTTTTAAAACTACTATTTTAAAACTATACTATTTTAAAAATTCATATCATAACAAAAATAAACACCGGTATTCGGTATGAACCGGTATACCGCCCAGCACTAGTTGAAACAACCCACTATTTTATAGAGTGCACCTGGCACAGTACATAGAAATAGTAGTTTAATTTCTTTGGAAAGATTCTGTCACATATATGCATTGTAGTCTGGAAAAATATAGAAGAAAGATTAAGAGATGTTCCTTTCTGTGAATAATGGGCCTGTACTATGGCTGTGAAGCTCACGTAAAGAGACATCCACTCTCGCCAGATGTGACCTCCATTCTCAAGATGGTGCAATGCAGAGATCAGGCTTCTGATAGGGCATGACAGTTTGTGAAAGTGATTTATTAGTAACCTTTTCGTTGAACAAACATGTAATGAATTCTCATTGTGTTAATGACATGACTGACAATATTATGAATAGTATATGACAAAGGGTTATGTAAATTAACACATTCTGCAGGATTTTATATTTGTTTATATTTAAGAAACACTCTCAGCCTCATGTTGTTGTTGGCTCGATATATTTTGTTTGGACATTATGACTCCTTCACATTAATTTTCATCAAGAAATTTTTCTGAAATCTGCAAAGCTATCCTAAGCTGCAAGGCACATAATCCTCATTAATTTTTTCTTTCTGGGTTAAATATACCACTATTAGTCATGCCTCATTGAATGAGTCATTAGAGGAAGGCTTGTTTAAGCCGATAGCTCTATCTTTTTCCTGAGGACTGACCCTTTTTCAAGACAAATGGCTTATTTCAGTGTTTGTTCAGACACTTCGCAGAATT